TGGGTCTTGGTGATCAGAAAGGGAAAGGGGAGGAATAATTAAGGGGCTAAAGCTGAGAACTAAAGGCTGAGAAGGGGAGCGAGGGACAACCACAGTGCTGGCACATTGCCCTAATGCTGTTTCTCCTCTTACCAAAAGCATCATAAATTAATAATCACCAGAACCACATATTGTCTATCTCCCTCTGGTTGCTTTTAGTCTTTTACTTCCTGGAGTACAGGGTTCTTTTTGGAAAGTAATAAGGGGGTCTGGGTTCAGGGTATGTGTGAATGTCCGTTGTTATCCCTGCCCCTCCTCCTCATTATTATCATGTTAACTTCTTCTTTGTCTTGAAATTACTTTTTATTTTTATTTCTGAGTATGTCTCCCCCCTACCATATCACGAGAGCTTCCTGAGGGCAGGGACTGTTTTTATTTTCATCTTGCTATTGCTATTGCTTAACACAGTACCTTGTACTTTGTAGGCTATTAATAAAAGCTTGCTGAATTCAAGTGGGCATGTACTATATGCAAAGGCATAGGGTTACAGGTTTCGAGCTAGAAGGGACCTTTGTGGTCATCTAATCCAACTCTCTCATTTCATTTTATTTTTTAAAGTTTCATTTGTATCTTTTTTTTTGTATCACAGTTTTTTTCCAAATATACTCCCCCCCCCCCCCCCATACTCAGTGAACTTTCCCTTGGAGCAAAATTTTTTAATAAGACTGCCATGCATTAACCTTGGCCATCAACATTTGCAATATACCACACCCGTGGTCACTCATCTCTCCAATGATAGGAAGGAGGTGCATTTTCTCATCCTGGCACCAAACATTAACCCCTTAATTTTACAAATGAAGAAACAGTGGCTGGAAGAAGTAAAGTTACTTGCCCAAGATAACACAGGGAATAAGCTGAAGGACCCAATTCTAGCTCAGATCCTGACCCTAAATCTAACATTCTTCCCACTATACCACAGAGGTGACTAGGATTTGAGTGGGCAAAGAGACATGAATCTGTTTTCCAGGAACTTATTGTATAGCTGGATGAACACAACATATAAATAATAATGCTGAATAGCATAAGCTAAGAGTCAAATGTCAATATGAACTCTGTCATCCTTTTAGTCAACCAGATTTCCTACCTCAGAGCCATGCTTGACAATTTCCCTTAAGTCACCAGCTCTTGTCGATTTTTTCTCTACAAAATGTCCCATATCTATCCCATTCTATCCATTCAGAGAGTCTCTGCCCTAGTTCAGGCTTTCATAACCTAATTGGTTTTCCTACCTCCATTCCCTTTCCTTTCCAATCCTCTCCACAACCAGATAAATGGTTATTCCCAAAATGCAGACCTCAACATGTTACCCTCACCAATCTTCAAGGATACTCTACTGTCTCTAGGACAAAATGCAAGATCCTCAGCCTGGAATTTAAAGCCCTCCCCTAATATGTCTTCCATCTATCTTTACATTCTTGTTACATATGATTCCCCTTGAGGCACTCTCCATTTCAGTCAAACTAACCTTTTAGGTGTTACTTGTTTATCACATTCTATCTCATGTCCACATGCCTTAGTCAAGCAGTCTCCAATGTCTGCCATGTACTCCTGCTTCAAATCCCTAGCTTTCTTCAAAGCACAGCCCTGGTTCCAACCTCCTACACTCAACCTTTCCTGAACCCTCCCATTTAACATGCACTTTCTCTTTCTTCAAGGGAATTGGGAGAGGACTTCTGATTTCATTGGTTTTGGGAACTCTCAGGAAACACTTTCTATACCAAAACCAAGTATTTTCTCTGCATCTTATAGTAAAAAAGAGTTTCCTAGGATACTGAGAAGTTAAGTGATTTGTCTAGGCTCACACAGCCAGCTTGTACCAAAGGCAGGACTTGAACCAAGATCTTCTGGAGTCAGAGGCTAGCTCTGTCTATAACAACACACTCCCTCTCCTTCCTCTTGAAATTATTTTATACATGGCTTCTCAAAAGCCTTAAGCTATTAAAGCTTAAAACTGCACCAAGACTTTTGAGACACACTGTATATACTTGGTATTGACTTAATGGTGTGCATATTCTATCTCCCTGTAAAATACAAGCTACTTGAGGCCAGGGTGTGTGTGTGTGTGTGTGTGTGTGTGTGTGTGTGTGTGTGTGTGTG